GGGGGGCTCAGCCCCCCCCAGCTGCCGCCCCCCCCTTGTCCACCGCAACTCAAACCCTCTCCACCTCCCCCGGAGCAGCTGAAAGGTGATTCCAGAACTCGACACCTACCGCCCCTTATTCTCGGTTTCATATTTGATTTACACATCGTCTGTATCCTTTTACAGGCTTGTGACAACTTTCTGCTTAGTTCTGCATTGCTCTTCTACCTGCGTGTACCTACGCCTGTCTCCTCGGTGTCTTTTATGGGCAGTTTTCCCTGATTTTTTGTCACTAACAGGTTTTATTAATGCTTCCTTACCTTCATGCTCAACTTATTAACACTGGGAGAGTAATGAACCGTTCTCAAATTTTGTGTCTCTACACTTCCCAGTATAAAAGAACAGGAGAGTAGAAATCTCAGGACATACAGAGTAATTAAGCATTTTCCATCTACAACTTCTGCCTAAGGCCCCCAGTTAGGGAGTTGGGCTTTAACCAGACCAAATTCTGGCAGAAAAAGCACAGGCCCTATTCTGCAGAAACTAAACTTCCCTGTTTGTAGGGTCACACGTGACTCTCAGAACAGTTTCTGTGCGGGTTCACCCCTTTACTCTCCTGTTGAGCACAATGTCCCCGGAGGAAAAGTCGGTGTCTGGACACACACCTTGTCCTTTTCCCCATCTCTGAGAGTATCGAGTCTCTGAAGCCACCGTGTCTCTTACGTCCCCACGGGGCATTTCCTGGCCGTTCCGTGCCAGGAGCACGGTCCCACCACCCGGCTCACAAGGCACCGTCCAGGGACACCCCCGTGGCTCCTTCCCGCCTGCCCCTCGCTGCAACTCCGGGAGGGCCTTGTGGCATCGAGGTGTGCCCCCCCGGCCCCTCCCTGCCGCCCAGCCCGGCCCCGCGCTGCCCTCAGCGTTCTCTTGAGATGCTCCTTCTTCAGCACAGGTAAATCCTTTGGTGTCTGGGCTCGCTCTAATAGGGGCAGCTGCTGAGAACTCCCTTCCCGGGCCTGTCCCTGCGCCGCTGGGGATACCCACAGCTCTGCAGCGTTCTGCGCGCTCCCGGGCTACAACTTTGTTACTACGTCCCCGCAGCTCCCCCGCACGGGGCTCTCCCCAGCCTCCTAACCTCTGCCTTGGGCTCCTGCCCAACGCTCTGAGCATCTGCCCGAGAGCTCCTTGAGCAGCCGGGCGTGTAGGAGAGCCACTGAACTGCAGCCGGGCCGAGGAGCCAGCGGCAGGTCCCCCTGAGGCAAACAGCCGGGCTGTTGCGTTTTCAAACATGTCCATGGCTATAACAAGCGTTAACATAATTCCTAGAAATAACGGAACTGAAGGGCCAAAGCATCTCTGGCCAAGCCACCAGCTGCGCTGACGCGCGCGAGGCCGCCCCGGCTCTGCCTTCCTCCCTCTTTACCTTGAGGGGGGGGACGCGTGGCACCGGGGCCCCCGCCGCAGGAAAGGACTGGGCCTGGGCCCGAAAGGCCTGGGGGTGCTGGCAGCTCTCCATCACGCGCGGCTTCTTCTCGGGAGTAGTGGCGAGAGCTGCTTCACCACTCTCCGACTTCCTCTTGGGGGCTTCCACGCTGACTTCCATCTCCTCGTTTGCTGGGGGCTTCTTTTCCGGTCGTTCTGGAGTCGTCGCTGGACTTTTCACGCTGGCTACGACCTCACCTGCTTCGGGGCTCTTTGGTTTACTGGGGGCCAAAACTGAGGTACTGAGGGTCTCTTTCACGAGCCCGTCCTTCACCGCTGGGGGTTTTCTCTCTTCTTCGGGTGCCGGACTAAGAGCAGTTGGTGGTTTCTCCCGGTTGGACTCTCCCTGGAGTCTCTCCTGCACGGGCAGAGAACGGTTGCTGCCCTTCGGCCCGCACCCGCCCGGGGAAGCCGCGGCCTCCGCGGGTTTGGCTGCTTTTGGCTGCGCGTCCTCTCGTCTTTCCTCTCCTCCTTTTCTCGGCGCTGGTGCTTCCTGGGCTGCTTGTGCTTTAGGCTCTAACGGAGCGGGAACCTCCTCTCTGAGCGGTGCCAGGGAGGCTGCTGCGCGTTTTGGCTGCTCAGCTGCTGGAGTTTCACTCTCGGGCTCGGCAGGGCTGGTGTTTGCTGTCAGTCTCTTGGACTCTTCAGGACTCAGTCCCGAACTATCAATAAAAACAGTATTTTTAATTTGTATAACATTCTTGCAAGAAGCATGCTATCCTTATGAAAACAGAGAGGATTCTCTGCTTGCCACACCCTAAATAAACCCATCCCACACACCTACTTCGACGCCACGACCTCTGAAAACCTGCAGTACTGTCAGGACCTCCACGTGAAACTGAACTTGACAGCAAAGTTTAAAACCAGCTCAGTGAAAGACACGGAATGGAGGGTGGATGCAAGTCCCCTCACCAGATACAGACTGTCCAGGCTGCGAACCAAACCAATTTGGCTACGGGTAAATATTCCCCTTCTCAGCCCCCGCAGTGGCATCCTCGCAGCAGCGACAGCCCCGCCAGCTGCCCCGGCCTGTGGCTCCCGGGGTGACATCTGTGGCCAGGGACACTGCGAGGGTCCTGCCCCTTTCTCCAGAGGAACAGGGCTCACGCCAGGACCAGGGATGGGCCCTTCGCTTAGGACCGACGCTGCTGCCTTTCTCCAGCAGCAAAACGCCGCGAGGGTTCCCATGGGATTCACCCGGGTTGGTTTGTGAAAGAGATGAACAAGCTGGGTCTAGGATTGACTTCATCCACTCCTCTTAATGAAACAGCAAACGTGGGGTTTTTGCCCAACCATGAACACATGAAGTCTGATGAAGCCACGGGATCAACTTCCACCAGACAAAGTCCTGGGAACTAAAGAGAACAGAGTTTCTATCCTGTGTCACCTCGTGAGAGATGAGGTGTAAAAACAGGCCTGGGGGAGACACGGCCTGAGAGACAGCCTGAGCGAGAGCTGAAGGACAGCGGGGTCGGAGGCCTCCGAGCTGAGAACGTCTCAAACACTCCCAAGGAATGAAACTCCAGTCCCGGGGCGGGGGGAGGCCGGAGCTGACCAGCTGCCCCAGTAACACCGGAGGCAGCTGGAGGGCAGGAGCCCTGTGGGGACAGGACGGTTCTGCTCTGGGGCACCTGCTCAGGTCTCAAGGGGCGTCTGTCCGGGCAGTGACCTTGGCTTCCTCATCCAGGGAGGGGTGGTAAAGTGAGCACCTGACATGCTAACGGAGACTAACGAGCTCATGCTAATTACCTCAGGCCATGGAACACCTGACCCCTCCCCACCCATGGGACCGTAGGTGTGTGGGTCGGCCATGGGGACGGACCCAAGGAGAGGGGGTATAAACTGAGGGGGGCGAGGAGAGGGGCTCAGGGGGTGAAGTGAAGAAGGCAGATGCCTCCTGGAACCCTCGCGGCGGGGTCGAGGCAGGAACCCAGAGCAGTGATCTCTGTTCCTCTGTCCCCTCCAT